CACGCAAAGATCGGAGAGCGATGAGTCTGACCTTGACCCTTGTAGCGTGAGCGACATCGATCTTGGTGACTGCTTCGATTGGGACACCCACAGAGACCGATCCCATTGTTGATAGCTTAACGCTGGAGATTGGTAAGCGACGTCGACAGAGAGCAACAGTGCGACGGATTGCACGATAATAGCTTGAGGGAGACTGATTTCTTTATGTCACGCGAGCCCCAAGGGGCGGTTGCTGGACCCCCAAGAGGGGAAGGTCCGGTCCCATACCTTAGAGATGGATTCAGCCATCTGGTTGGGACAGACTTCGCACCTATTTGGAACAAAGAGGGCTTGCCCTCCCATGGTGCAAGTCGTGTCACATGGCGTTCCCCTCCCGGAGGATTCCGGAAACCATAGAACATATTTTCCTGCAATGCCCGGGGTCCGTTCTCACATGGCGATGGTGGGACAGAATTTGGAGTCTGCTGGACACCAAAACGAACTGACCATGGGACTGGAGGGCGATACCGTGTGAGACATGGACCTCCCCCACACTTAGTACCTTTGAGGAGAACATGTTTAGAATAGGGAGGAGGGCGGCTATGTGGGCGATCTGGAGAAGACGCTGCATACACACTTTGGAGGGTGTCCGTATAGCGGGGGAGGAAATGACGGACATGATCAGACAATTTATACAGCAAGAACTAATGACGCAATGGCAGAAGGTTAAGGGCCAGCTAGATCTGTGCCAAACAAGGAATGAAATAAAACAAAAAATCCAAAAATTCTCGGGGAACTGGTTGGGCGGCGAGAATGGCGGCCGAATTGCCTCCATCAAATGGGAGGGCGGCAAAATCCCGGAAGGCGAAGGAGACAACCAAGTCGGTAACCGGGATCCGATCAGGAAGGACTACCAGCTTTGTTTTAAAGATTGGACAACGGTGGGCCAAGAGGTCCCGTTACGGCCTTCTGCGGACTTCCCCGACCCCTTTCCCCCTCATCAGCTGGCTGTGGTGGACATGCAATGGTACGGAGCGGAGTAAGCAAGACTGCAAATGCAGGGAAGGGACCAGTTGGTATACGCAGTGATCTGGCGCCTGGCATGGGGTGAAGAGGCTCCTCCCTGTTCTGACACAACCTGCTCAGTTAATCCTCTGGGTCCCAGAGTAATCAATGCTGGCAGGATTCTCCCTAATTTTAGCCTGTGATTTCACTCTGTGTATGGGACGCTGGACCCGATTTCCAGCAGGTGCTTTCACTCTGTGTACGGGACGCTGGACCCGATTTCCATCAGGTGACGCTCCCCACCAATAGATGGAGCCGTCCCCCGGTGCTAGTGGTGTCTGCTTTTACCAGCACCCCTAGCACTGGATGGGGCTGTCTTTTCAAAAAAAAAAAAAAAAAAAAAAAAAAAAAAAAAAGACTTTGCTATGCACGATTTTCGAAAGCCACTTTATGGAGACCGTTTCCTTGAGGTTTCATATGTTTACATCGACGGCAAGGGACGGATTGAGATACTGATTGGTGCTACAGGTAATATCACCCTTGTCAAGGAGCTTTACCTCAGGAGTGTTGCGGACGAGGAGATGGCGAGATGCATGGGATATATCAACAAGATTGATCCTGGAGCGTCTCGTGACATCAGCTACGTGGTCCCAAAGTCGATAGCAACTCTGGTTCTCAATGATGAGGAGGACCAGCGTGTACCAGATGTGGAGTCCCGGACGACAGAGCTTACTCATGAGGGGGTACCACTTATTATTATTGATTGAGGCTCACTCCTTCCAGTCACTGTGATGTATTTATTATTATTACGACTTATCAGTGACTGCAGCCCTCCAATGGTTGCTCCCTGCATTTCCTGTGTACTACTCTTTAGTCTCGTGTCTCTGGTCATGTCTCTTGTGGAGTCTGGTTTCTTCATGCTCTTGCGGAGTCTGGTTTCTGGTCTTCTTGCTCTTTCTGGTTTCTGGTCTTCTTGTTATTTCCTCTTCTCATCACACGAGTTACACTCAAGGCTACTTGAAGGACTCCTGGATAATAGGGCCTCTGGTGATCTTGACTCCTTGAAGGTCAGGTGCGGGCGATAAACCCCAACGCCTCACTCTAAGCCGTGTCGCCACTGGCAGGAGGGATAACCCTGACTACTTGACTATATGATTAAGAGTGACAAGGACTGTTTCTGAATGCGCTCATATGTTATATGATTTTCATACTTACCAAAACCCTGTGTGACAGCCTGACAGTCCACCAACCCATTGGACTCGGCCTGGGAGGGACACCGAACCTGGCCCTGGAAGGGGCGGGGGCGTAACAACGGGCCAACAAGAAAGCAGCATCGTCGTCGTATCTATCCCGTGGGCCAGTGCACAAATGCAGCAAACAACTCAAGCCTGGAAAGTTCTGAGCTTGCCCAACCAAAAAGGGCCCAGGCCCGTAACTGTCATCGTTGGCCTGGGCGCAAATACAGGGGACCAACCGGAAGCTACTGGAAACTCCACGATCAAGCCCACACAGAGTCCAGCAGAGGCCGCCACTTCCATATAGGAAGCAGAGCAGCCAGGGAGGCCATGTTGGCCAATGCTGGTGTTGCGGACACGCTGCTGCGCTAGCAAGCGAGTGTCTGTACGTGCTAGCTTGGGCCGAGGCGCGCCCGGGCGCTGAGAGGTGAGGGCGCTGCAGGAGCAGCAGGGCGCTAGCAGCCATAGCCGGGCTGCAGGGCGCGAGGCAGAGGAGGGCGACAGGAGGTCTTTGGGAGGAGGCACATAAGTGGGTGTCAGGGCGTGATGAGGGGATACGAGGATACGTACCTGGTCTATGTGGGAGGTCGACATTGGTGTTGACGACATGTACATTGGTCTTCAATTCGAAGTGAGCTTGTGAACGTAGATAGGCTAGGTAGGCAAGAAGAGTAGGGTGGGCGCTGGGCAGACAGGAGCGACATTGAATAATGCATTGGCTCACGAGTTCACCGTATTGCTCTTATTTGGATGGAATATTGGTGCATTTGAGCTCTCTGCTTGTACATGACTATGTGGACTTCTGCGTGATTTTGGATTTGGTTATCTGTATATCGCTCTCACTCATATTCCTTGCAGAGGCCTGATGAACCATGTATCAGATTTTAAAATGATCAGAACAGATACTACACTTGATCTATTTTTAGCCAAAAGGCCACAAAAATTGCCTTGTGTGTGTACAGCTCTTTCTTTGTAATCCTTACGTTTTTATATAAATTTTCTTGCTGCTCTCTTTTTAGTAAATTTTACTGTGCCTTTCCCGTACAAGGCTGTGTATGTTTTAGATTTCCACCACAACAGCCCTGTTCCACCCTGATCAGTAGATCCAAAATCAAAGCAGCTCTACCTCTGTCGCAGACAATGAAGCACACTCGAGATGAGCGGGTGTGGGCAGGCGCACACACACACACACACACACAGAGAGAGAGAGAGAGAGAGAGAGAGAGAGAGAGAGAGAGAGAGAGAGNAGAGAGAGAGAGAGAGAGAGAGAGAGAGAGAGAGAGAGAGAGAGAGAGAGAGAGAGAGAGAGAGAGAGAGAGAGAGAGAGATGCGACTTCCATTCCTGATTTCCTGTTTTCTTTTCCTGTCGACTTTCATTTACATCTCTGCTTCTTTCTATGCAGGGTTTTCATACCAAGGCAGGGGAAACTCGAGCCCAGCTGAGCATTCTACCAAGTCTGTCCGTAGACTGTGTTACCTTGGAGGCCGATAAGAATGCCACCTCGAGTACTGAAGGTTTGACCAACCAGCCTGTTAAGAACCACATAGAAAGTCAAAAACTGAAACCAAACCGAATGAAGCCATGAACCGCAGTCAACTCATGCCAAGTCGACCCCCTCCTAGGCACTCAAAGGCCACCCAACCCACCCCAGAAAAAAGGTTCAAAAATACTAATTAAATCAGGCCCCCACTAAACCAACCCAAACTGAAGCACACTGAAACGAAACAAAGCAAACCAAATTGATTGGCATGCAGTGAAATAAAAGTACTGACATCACATAAGAATCACATGAAATGAAACACAATGCCGAAGCAAGCAAGCAAGCCGGTTAAACCCCAACACGATAAACTCAACTTTAGACCCCAGCCCAAAGTCCAGAGCCCAGAGCCCCAGCCCCAGCCCAAAGCCCAGAGCCCAGAGCCCAAAGCCCCAGCCCAAAGCCCCGAGCCTAGAGCCTAGAGCCCAGAGCCCAGAGCCCAGAGCCCAGAGCCCAGAACCCAGAGCCTGAAGTCCAGGGCCCAGAGCCCCAACCCAAAGCCCAGATCCCAGATCCCAGATCCCAAAGCCCCCCAAACCTAAACCCAAATCCCAGACCCGCTTTGAAAGCCAGACCAGAACACTAAATCCAAACGACCCTACTTGAATCCACCTGCCCAACCTACCCCAACCTCAGACTCCCAACCCACCCCAACCTCAGACTCCCAACCCACCCTGACGTCATACTCCCCAACTCCTCAACCTTGCACGAACTAGAACACACCTCAAGGCCAACCTGTCCTCAATTCAAACCAAATGGAACCAAACCCGTGCAACACAAACCCCACAACACCAGACCCAACCAGTGTCAACAAGGTCAGCGGGTTCTTGCCCTTAATGCCTCTTCACTGTGCCTGATTCAAACCGACGCCTCCTGTCAGATTGCACCTGGACATGCAGTCAGTCAACTGCGACCCGTGTGATCTCCACCAGGACATCTTGTTTTCCAGCGGCATTCTGGCAGAGGCATTCGTGCGAATACATAAACAAATACGGAGTTAATCTAGGATGTCAAAGACCCAGAGCCCCAAACCCCGAGACCCAAGATTCTAACCAAACCTAACCTATTCTGCCAAGACCGCTCTCAAGGGACCCAATCCAGCCAATCCTGACCCCACCACACTCGACCCAAACCCCTCCAGCCCAACCCAACCCAAACCTCAGATCCCAATCTCCACCCCAAAACCTCAACCCCAACCCCGACCCTACACCATCTCCCAGGTCACGGAACACTCATTTAAAAACAGAAAAGCACATAAGCACCAACTTCTTTGACTCAGACGTTCTTATAATCTTGTAAGGTTGAAACAGGTAGTGCAAAACTAGAGACTGAGCAATGGCATGGATTAAGCACATTCTCTTCTTTTTGCTGGTGAAAGTGTACAGAAGAACAGGCACAGGGAAGAGAAGAACTAAGCCTGCAAAATTGCACTGATTACAAAGCATTTCTTTTGCGCATCTCTTTCCTGTTCCAGTGCCCCAACCTTGCGTACAATCGATAAAATGAATGAATATTAATTTGCGAATTCAATGTCATTTCCCCACCTCTCCCTCCGAAGAGGGTCAAGACACCCTCAAAAAAGGTTCGACAACATTCGGTTCCCTACCTTCTTCTGAGACATGGACGTTGCAAAGATCGAAGCTAACGCCGCCGCTTTATACTCTCCACAATGGCGTTGACTGCCTTGCAAAAAAAAAGGCTGCCATCTGTGCTCATCTCATACCTTCCTTGGGGTTCACGCTTGAAGCTGAAGCCTGAAGCTGCATTTGTCCATTCCTCTAAAAAATACCTTCCTTGGGGTTCAAGCTCGAAGCTAAAGCCTGAAGCTGCATTTGTCCAGCCCTCTCGTCCAGCCCTATCCATCCTCATCTGACTCCATCTCCGACCCGTGTATACATCCATAAACCCATTCATGCATCCATCCATCCATCCATCCATCCACTTGTCAAACTGTCCTAGGAAAATTGAAGCTGAAGGTGCAGTCGTCCGTCCCTCTCATCCGCCCCTACCTATCCATCCTCATCCACCCCTCCAACTCTGTCCCGGGTATATACACCCATAAAGGCCCATTCATCATCCATCGGTCCACTTGTGTGAAATAATCCTTACCATCCACCTGCGTCCACGTCCATCCACATCCATCCACGTCCATCCACGTCCATCCACGTCCATCCACTTCCATCGAACGACCCCTCAATACTGTGCTCCTGATGATTGTGAGAGAAGTTGCCGCTAGTGGACTCTGCTTCCAGAGAACTGTTTATGTTTACAGAAAGCGATCATGGCATGAGGCCAGGAGGCAATGACTTGCCAAAAGAGGCAACTTCATTTTGTCCCCTACAATGGTGGAGTGGGTCCCCTGGGGTACAATTATTTGCTGTCTCCACATGAGCCTGGTCCGATTTGTGGATCAGATTCACACCAAGTTCAGACAGAACAGCATCAAGTGGAACCAGGTCCTCAGCCTGCTCAGTTGCTCCTTCAGTCTGTCATCAAGCAGTCACTGAACTAGAAGTTTGCGGTGATACCCTCCAGTCTCACCGCCACTGCGATCATGCCCGCTACTACCTCACTTCATCCTCAGAACAAATCCATCTCTTTTCGTCCAACGCTTTTGAGCCCCTGTCCCATAGCTTAGTTGTCCCATAACCCCCATGTGTCTGCACTTCTTCACAGCAAGAATGTGCGACGTTCTGCCTGAAGACTCTGACCATTCCCCTCTTCTCATCAGTTGCGCCATCCGCAAACTCACCTCTCGAGCCCATTCCTTTCCTCCTCAGGTACGAACGAGGCAGAAACCCAAAGTCACAATGACTCCTAAAAACTTCCTCCCTTCTTCCCGGCTCGACATACGCCCTCAACTGGGTCTATGAAATGCCTCTGTTGACAGCCTGACACTCGTCCGACCCCGTCTCTTCTCTTCTGAGACGTCAGCAATGCGCCGCTAAAACAAGTTGTACGGCACAGTAGGAGAACGTAGCCTGCAGTCAAGCATGACTCGTATAGGAAGTAGGCGGAATGCCGAACCCATCAAAAAAACAAAACACAGCGGCTCTACCGACCCTTTGTCGAGACCTGTGTCGTTATTCCGTCTTTTGGACTGTGAAATGCCTTCCTCATCAGACATCGTCTTCGCTGAAACATCAGCAGAGCGAACAAGTTGTCCTGCGCAACGGGAGCATAGCCGGCACGCAAGTACAACTTGTAGGGAACGTGATCCATCAGTCGGCAATGGAGAAAAATTTCAGTCTTGCCCAGCTGCACTGCAAGTTGCTCTGCTGCTTTCAGCAACTCCCGCCCCAACCCTAAGCCCCGGTACTCCACCTCGATAGCCATGTTACATAAATATGTGGCATTGACAGGCGGATTAAGCGTTGGAAATGGAGCCCTTGATCGGCTCGAGAACGAGAGCTCCACAGTGCCGACGAGAGTCAGAGGAGCCCCCCTCCCAAGCTGCTCCTCCAGCTCCTGTTTCTCTTTTCCACCCATTTGATTACCTTTCCATGAAGGAAACCGGAGCATAACCAAGCACACGCCATACGGAACCGACATGTACCGTTCTTGGAGGTAGTTTGAAATCTGAACTCTCAGGAAGGGTCCATAGCTGAAGATGCCCAGGTAATCAGCAAACGACTCCGTCAAAAGCTCCGTTGTCGCAAACGTGTGCTCTGGCTGCATCATGCAAACAACAAAAGCTCCATGGCGGCTGATATGGAAGTACCGAAATCGCTCAATTTGCACTAGCATTTTGGCATGGTACGGATCCAGTCCATTGCGCATGTTGTTCATAGACAATGTTGAAACCGGGCTGCCAGGTCGGGAGCGGGACCGCACAGACATGGTGGCATTGCCAGGTGGGTGCCTCACAGACGAGAGCTGATAGACCCGTTCCTCTTGCATTCTTTCTGTGGCACTCACAGTAGGTCTGAGCACAGTGTCGCAACTGCGTTCGTGATCTGCGTCATCGTCAATTCCAGGAGGATCTGCAACAGGATCCGGCTTTTCGAGCTGGTCCGAGATTTCTGCAAACTCCTGAGAATCCGACGAAGTTTCTGATGCCATTTCCATGCCCACAACTGGTTTCACGGCTGTATGGGAAAAGGACAGATCTGAGCTGTGGATGGGGGAGCAGCCTGATGAAACACCGCCACCACCTCCATCTGCTCCAGCGCGGCAAACGAAATCGCTGCGGACTTCTCCTGAATACAAAGCTGCATCGTCGTAAGGCAAGGAGCTATCCCCGCCATAGCTCCAGCAGCAACACCAACTTGTTGTCTGTGCAATCGCCCCATGAGCATAAGAAGCCAGACCTTTGGCTTCCCTCTGCATGTCAAACTCCGTCTTGATGTTTACGCAGCAAGAAATGTGTGTGCACAACGAGGACGAGGACGTTTGCCACTTGACTGCACTGGAGTTATACCATGCTCCACACCTGCAAACAGAACAAGAAAGCAACAGCCAGCAGTTCATCACACATCATATCTGAGGGTGATGTCAGCGACTTGCTTACTGTAGACATGGCGTTATGCACGGAGCTCACACAGTGGATGTGTACAATACTACAAATGCAACTGTGAAGTGCTTCCTTGGTACGTACTGCATCGTCATCTGGCAACTGTTGTTGTGCCATAGTGTGCTGCATCCTTTAGCATCTGTGATATCCTACAGCATGCTGCATAACAGCGCATACTTGCACGTCATACGCAGAAGGGCGGCCACCACAAAAAGTACTAAGTACTATCCGAAATGACCCAATCACGATAAGCAGAGGAATGGCTGGCATTAACCAGCATGGTTTTCACAGGATTACTCTTGTTGGATTTCGGCAAAGCTCGTCGGATTTTGGTAAAGCTACAGACAACATGCACAGTATGGAGAATCCCTACCACCACGCCTTGCTCATCCCCAAAGAAGTGATAACCTACTCTGAGAAGAGAATCCAACTGAACTGAAATATAGCATTGATCCAAAGATACCAGACCTTTACGCCAGGGGAACATGACACCTCCATCCGCAGCGGCCACCCCCTTGAGAGCATCCAGTAAAACAGGAATGACATGCAGACGATTAGCATAGTCACAGTGGAAGAGTGACACAAGAGATGATGCTCTAGAGAAGAAAAAAGAACTTTAAAAACCAGGATCCAAGAAAAGAAGTTATGCCCGGAAACGGCGGAAAGCTCTTTCTGTCTTTTAAATCGATAATAAAAGGATGATCAAGAGGCGGGGACCAGACATATAGATATTATGGGACACAGAAAGAGAGGGGGTGGCCGATCGAAAGGAGTTATCACCCTGACATTTGGATGGCCATCTGAACGACTGCTGTCTGGTGTCAGATATCCAATGTACGGGTGACTGTTGAGAGAGTCCAACTAATCCCAATGCAAATATTCTTTCTGAGTTTTTCTTAGGTTTCTTTTTTTTTTTTTTTTTTACAAGAAAATTGAATAAACACGAGGCTGCTTCTATTCTGGGGAGCAGCAGTCCGGTTCTTTTTCCACCGGCAAGTCAAGAGAATACACATTTTACTCGCGCAACAACACTACTCCCCATTATGGTTGGGAGGTCGGAGTGGACGAAATTCATAACTTCCGTTAGGAAGGATATACCACCCCTCACCCCTGCCTAAGTTAGCCTCAGCGACTCCAAACAACCGACCGGTTCCGGTCTGCCCATTCTGCTGTGTTACCACTGTAATCCCCCATCGATCCACGGAGGTGCCGAGGGAGACCCCGAGGCAGGGCGTGCCCGCATGCCAAATCAGACCCTTTCAGTGCCGCCATACAGCAGGCGCGAGCTTCCGTCCCATCGGTGGAACACAGCAGGGATCTTCAAGAGCCTTCCCTTAAGTTGTACTGCCTACTAACCCCAAGGCCAGGCTAGCTACCCATTACATCAGATCGGAGTGTCGTGGCTGCACGGTCCCCGACCAGGCTATGCCCTGGGAGGAATGCACCCCAGTCCGCCAGACACATTTCACCATGTTGCCCTCCACAGACCCCAATTTCCCATTACCAAAGCCAGCGCTTGTTTGAGCTCCTCCCATGTCTGCTCTGGCGACACCTCCCGTTTATCGATTGTTTCTTTGCATCTTCTCTTGCATACCACCCACAAAGCCAACGGGCGTAATCTTCCAAAGAACTTGTGCATCCACCTCTCCCGAGCCTGTGGTCGGGCCAGTCCTGTTAGCAATCCCAGGTGGTTCTCTGGCAGTGCTTGTTCTGTGGTCTCCCTCCATAGGTCCTTGACACAGTCTCACACCTGCCATGCCTTGGGGCAAGCCGGCATACAGTGCACAACGTCCTCCACCGCTCCTGTGTCACAAATAGCGCAGCACTCATCAAAGTTCTGTCTATTAGCCTGCGCTCATCTTTTGGCCAACCACTCGTTAACTGGTAGTGCCACGTGCTCCAGCAGCCGGTGCATGCTCCGCACCCTCGTGTTGCGAATCGCCAGCACTGCAGCCAACGGTATCTTGTGGAGGTCCGTTGTTTGTCCCCGCATAAGCCGGTCCCAATGTTGGAACAGAGTACTCTGGGTATTTGCTGAATGCCTGCACAGTCTGTACCCAGCTGTGTAGTATAGTCCTGGATGCTCACCCGGCGGTCCACTCATCCCGCTGGGGTTGGGAGTTTGGAGGCCCATTCTGCAGGGTCAAATTCCAAGCCTTGCAACGGCAGGCATGGCTCGAACATCCTGAGGTCCTCATCTTCTACCACCCGCACCTTCCAGAGGCGATCAAGTGTGACTGCTGCCTGCATGGAAGGCGTGTTGCTGACTCTGCCAACCGTCAAGCCTGGCCCCTCTACGTCGTGTAAACGCATTACTGTCCACTAGTTCGCGGGACCAATCCGTTTGATGAAGGACAGAGGCACCTGAGGGGGGGGGTTGAAAACTTGATTTTTCAAAAACTTAAAGAAACTAGGGCAAAGTATTGTGCGAGCTAAGAGCTTCAACTGAGTACTAGGTCGAAATCCTGACCTGGTTCTGAGAACATGTCAGACAACAGAAAAATCTAAAAAACAAAAAAAAACATGTTCTCGTGGCCCCCGGATGAGTCGTAGGTAGACATTTGGACTCTACCCAGATTCCAGATACTCTGTATTTCGGTCTCCAGATGGGTCCACCACCTACAATCGTCACTCAAATAGAACGCCCGGTCATTATAGCTGTACTCAGGGCAATTTTCAGTCTAGAATCTAGATAAAGTGATAATGACCAACCGTTCTTTTTTCTTTTTTTCAATGGGCCCACTGTTGTCCGGGTTGATGTTGAGGAATTCCCGGCCTCATTGTTTTTACATATATTGCCAGGGTTGCACCGGTGCCGACCGCCGACCCCGACCGCCGACCGTTTTGCCCCGACCGATCGGGGCCGATCGGTCGGCGGACCGCCGACCAGTCAGAAAACAACCACCCACTGATTTTTTTTCAAATCTGAGTTGGGAGCTGTACTGCGCTTGCTAGTACCTGTCTCTTATACACATCTAGATGTGTATGAGGGCCCGTTACGGCCTTCTGCGGACTTCCCCGACCCCTTTCCCCCTCATCAGCTGGCTGTGGTGGACATGCAATGGTACGGAGCGGAGTAAGCAAGATCTCTTATACACATCTAGATGTGTATAAGAGACAGGTTTTAAAGATTGGACAACGGTGGGCCAAGAGGTCCCGTTACGGCCTTCTGCGGACTTCC